CTGCCTTGGAGGCCCTCACCTTTCAACACGCCTGGCTAACTCCTGTCCAACCCCCAGGCCCAAGCATAACTTCTCCGGTGAAGCTTTCCCGACACCTGCAGTGGAATTAGGAACTGTCTCCTTTCTGTGCTAAAATAAATAAATAAATAAATCACCTTAAAACGGATGAACAAAAATAGATCTAGAGACAGAGAGGCATCGATCAGACCGTCAAACCTCAGAGGGAAGGTAGGGGAGGGTGTGGGTAAAGGGGAGAGATCAACCAAAGGACTTGCATGCATGCATATAAGCATAACCAATAGACACAGTCACCAGGGGTGAGGGCATGAGTGGGGGCCTGGGGGAACAATGGGGGATAAGGACAGATTTGTAATACCTAATAAAGGGGGAAAAATCTTAAAATCCATGTTTATTAGCAGCACTCATTTTAAAATGCAACTATCTGTTCTTGACCATGGCTTCTGTGTTCAACGCACCTTGTAGTCTCATGACTTATCACTGTGTGGGCACAAAATGTCATCACAATCAATATTTGGTGGATGAATAAATAAAGGTTGAATCACGAATTTGAAGGAGCACCAATTTCTACAAATATAGTAGTTTGCTTTGGCAGGTGGTTCTATTTCAACAAAAATTTGTTTTTATATACTTTATATAAAATCCCTCATGTTCTCCAAGGATTCTGTTTGCAGAATTTACACCCCATATAATTTCATATGCCCTTTTCCTCTTAAAAAAAAAAGTCACCTTGTCACATGTAATGAATATCTTTTAAACACTGAGTGGAATACCTTATATGGCCTAACATAAAACAATACTCAAACCTATAAATATCTTAATCCCTTAAACATTTTTCCTTTTAACCACATCAATTCCTTAATAGATGAGCATCACACTAAAAATGTGGAAACGTTAATTTAAAAAAATACAAAACTCAAACTTTATTGTAAAATATTAGAAGTAAAATAGAGAAATCTACCAACTAATGCAGGGTTCCAACTGGTCATTTTAAAAGATGATCTACATTAGGAAACTTCTTGAGCAAAATACTTTCCATATAAATTTCTCATACACATTATGTCAAGAATACATATTTTTAAATGTACTTTGGACCCTACATAATTAAAGCAAACCTTCTCTGTCATTCCCACCACACCCCAGGATTAATTGCAGTGCAAGAGAGGAAAAAATCACTAAAATATCCATTTACTTATTCCCTCAGAGCTCTCACCTCCCCTCATCTCCAACTCCAGTACTTCAGTTCTTTAACTGTGCCTCCACCTGAACTCTTCTAGAAAGTGGGTCAGTCCATCTTAGCCAGCCACCAAGAATAGTGGCAATAACTGGACCATTATTGGCATGCCCTGCTCCTTCTCAGACTCAATTACTTTAAGATTTTTGCCTTCTCATATTTTTCATCTCCTAGACTTCCCTAGGAAGGTTTTTTTTCTTCACCTTCTACAGAGATAAACAATGTGAGCACATCCAATAAGTTGGTCATCTATACACTCTGGTTTCTCTTCAGATCGCATAAATCTTTCGCCTTTTACCAATAAGTTGGTCATCTACTAAAAGAAAAATGAACAAGATAGTTCTCAGGTTTCAGTCCCAGATGATTTAAGATCCCCTCACTTTCCCTCTCTCTTAAATTACTATTTATTCTACAAAACACTCACTTGGCATTTATCTTATGCCACCTTGCCCTCCTCTTCCTCAGGCATGTCCTTGAAGGTGAAACCAATCTTAAGGGCGATGGTAGTGGAGACCATTCTCCTCTGTTCTCTGGTTAGGACAGGACCCAGAATGGTCTCCTACTCAAAAGTGTTCAGATCATTTTTCCATTCACATTATAATCCATTTGGGGGGTGGGGGGTGGTAGAGGGTGTGATAGGCAAACAGGTTTTATCTTCAGTGTAATGTTGATTGATTCAATAGCAGCTACTCTAAAGGGCTGGTGTAAGGAAGGTAATGAGGCCACATCTGGACTCAGAGTCGGTGCCCTGATGGATTAGAGGTGTCTGTCACATGCACTGGTGAGGCAGAGGATGGTATGCATGCTCAGTGTTTGCCATCTTGGCTCTAACCACTTAGCTAAAATCTGAATTTCAGTTACTTCAAGAATGTCTTACTGCGAAAGTTCCTATTCCTAATTAAAGTGTTAGGCCAAAGATAGATGATTCAAAGTACCCCAAATATATGTTTATGTGTAACCCTTTTACATAAAAGTTAGGTGAAGATACTCTTCCTTGGTGAGTCAGAGTTCCAGGTCAACATCATGAACCCAGTGCCCCCTCCTCTCCCACCGTCACATGGTAAGAATGTTCTTGAGAGCATTCAGCAGGGACTTTGAAAGAGTTGCCAGCTTTTCTACAAAAGCCAAAGCATCAAAGCTCTTCGCTCCAGAAGCCAGCCCAGCCAGGATCGCTTAAGGATTCCACTGACTGTGGAGCAACTCTTTTTCATTCCAGGAGATGCTGCGTTCTTCTGATGAAAGTTTATTTTCTCATCCTGTGCTCTCCCAAAAATTGGCACATAGAAGACAACCACAAAACCAGGGTTGACAGCATTTAGGAGATACAGTTTTAGACTTTGTTCTCTTGAAAAAAAAAATCGTTTCACAAGGATGAGAAGACAAATCCAACATCTCCCCTTCATTAGAGTAACGAAGCGTCCCAGGGGCTCAGCAAACAAACCAACCAAATCCATTCTTGATTTGTTTCTAGTACTGTTCTCCTTGGCCAGAAAAACCCCTCCTTTTCTCCTAATGCAAAATATCAAAGATTCCATTTCACAATTCTTATTTAAAGAAGCACATTACAAAGTGAAGTGCATCACCAAGTGCTAAAAACCTCCACTTCTGGCTTTCTGATCACATTTATCATATTTCCAAGGCAATCTTCACCAATTTCCAATTCTCTAATCAAATCATATTGTTTAAAAGCCAACTTTACTTACCACTTGCTATCCCGTTCCACTGTAACGCACACCCTTGCTCTCTCTCCACCCCAACTCTTCTAGAGCATCCCTGCCATTAAGGGGCTTGCCAGTCTCTCCTACTTCCTATGACTGAGAACAAACGCTTAGGAAACAATGTCCGTGGTTATAATGGAATAAAAGCCTTTCTGAGATAAAAGTACGTCAGAATGAGAAAATAACTAAAAGTAGGTTTTCTTTCCTCAAGATCTCAAGAAGTGTTCTTTAGTGAAAAGGCCGGTTTACCTTTAAAAGTTAATGTAGAATCTTCTAAAAAAAAAAAAAAAAAAAAAAGCTCCCCCAAGCTCCCAATATTAAAGTCATTGAAATAAAACAACTCAAGGAAGAAAAAAAGACAGTGCCCCACACAGGGGCATCATAGGGCAGAAGGGGCAATGGACAGGATGTGATGGGCCCAGCTGAGCCTGAATCCAGAAGATCTTGGATTCCAAAGAAGTGTAGATTTAATCCATCCCCTGTGTCTTTTCTTCCCTGACTGAAGGCCAGAGGAACCCAGGAACCAGAGGTGCACATGCAACTGGATGGAAGTCAGGGGAGCAAGTGTGAGGCGAGGACTGAAATCCTAGAGCTACTTTATGTACCAGCTGGGCCTCTCGGACAGCGGTCGCCAACCTTTCGGACCTCACGGACCACCGGTTGGCGATGGCTTCTCTAGAACATATTTTTTAAAAGAAAAATTACAGTTGTGTGGCACTGCAATGTATTTAAGGGCAAATACTAGAAGGTAACATTATCAGTCCAAATGGCCTGAAGTGTGGAATATTCAACTGAATAAAAATGGTGGGGAGAGTTCAAAAACATAACACATTAAAAGACTAAAGGAAATGGGACTTTTTTCAGATAAAAGAGACCCAGCCTAACTTTTTTTTCTCGCTGGGACAGCATCTACAACAGGAGCACCAGGCCGTGGAGTGCAGAGAAGGCAAGAAGGAATGAAGGAAGGGGCTCTGCAAACACATTTTGAAAACTACGGCCCCAGAGTTTCAAAACTCTCAACTTAAAAAGTTGTGCCTCTTCACTAGTCAGACGTAGCCAATGTGCCGTATCTCCAACTTTAACCCCTTCATTTTTGCACAGAGTTTTACTCATCTTTAAGTGAAAAACAAAACAAAACAAAACAAAACAAAACGCTACATGTTTTTATTTAGCTCAAGAAGTGATTTAGGTGCACAAGCAGAGATAGCTCGCACAGGTACACAGAATACAATTGTTGCCACGAATACATCCTTCACCTTGAAATGTGGAAGAGCACCAAGAGTAATTTAAAAAAAACAACAAAAAAAACAGGGCCTAGAAAATAAGTGCTTAGGTGGAATTCTTGAACAGCCACCAGCCTGTGGATGGTGGACCTCGCAGAAAGCATCACACAACAATGTGTGTTTACATCACCCTTTTATTTCATAGTTAGAAATAATACAGTTCCACAGGGTAAATCATCAATAAATAACGATGTTTAATCATTAAACGTAAAAATCCCAACTCTTTGGCATCTGACAGGATTTCTATTTCTTGTCAAACTAAGGACTGGATAGAGACAGTTAATCTTAGTGACCATTTGTCAATATGTTACAAAGGTGCAATTTACGTTAACGAATCAACCGCTGGAAATGTCCAGCCCGCCAAGAAATGTGATCAACTCAGTGAGCTGTGTGCCAGCTTCACCAAGGTTCTTTCATAAGGGCTGCCTCGGTGAGAGCGTAATAAATGTTGGTTAAGAGTTCCTAGGAGTTCCAAGTATGTAGTCTGCTCTAAATAGTTTGCCATTCATTCTGGCTAAAGAAAAGTTACAACGGCACCAGGAATGGCCCATTCATTAATTAAAAGGTGTTCTTATTTTATAAGCAAGAGTGCTAACACCTAAGAAACTCACAGCCCCCAAAATAAACCTTAAAATAAGCAGTTCTATGCTGCCAGAAATGCCAATTCAGTAATAAATTGCACCTTCAAGAGTCAAAAAAGAAATAGAAACTTTTTAAAAAGGTAAGTTGACATACATTTCCCCCCCAAAAATATATTCAAGAATAGTTGAGCTGTATTTGTTACTAAAGCCAGGACAGTATTTCTTTAGCAACAAATTAAACCAGTGCAATTGACATAAATTGTTAAGTAATCCAGGATTAACCTATTAAATCTGCAGAGCACTTGAGGCTCCTACACTAATCCTAGAAACTGGAATTTCAATGAGTGCTTGCGCTGCAAAAACCTAAAACTGGGATGACCCGATGCCATGCTGAATGGTATCACTTCATACTTCGATTAAGCATTCGATAGCAGAAATCATGAGTTTCCTCTATTAAAGTTCCATTCATGTTCAGCACATTCAGATGCAAATAGCATTATGCCTATAATCCATAACTAAAAGAGTCCTTCCCATTTTAAAGTTCCAGATGAATTTTAAATTAGAAAATAAGCCCAAAGGAAACTTTTTCAACTTGTGAAACCTTCATATTGGAAACTTTCTGGAAAAGCTTCCCTCTCCTCATACCTATTGTAAAATAAATACTTTGTATCCCAAATTTAATTTTATTAAGACATGTTAATAACGCTATAAAGAAACATTTTACAGCCATAGAGATCAGTAACTTTCCATGCGGAAATAAAAAATTCACTGCTCAATAATATTATTGAGGCAAGTGAAGAAAGATTATGCTCTTGTGTCAATCGGAAATGTTAGTTGTTTTGTTGTTGTTTTCAGTGCAAAACCAGTTATAAAATATTTAAACTCAATATTTAAAAATAAAAAGTGGTCCAAAATTCAGCAATGTTCAAGTTCTAAATTTCATAAAACAAATCATGACATACATTTCATAGTAAAATACAGAGATTAAAGAAGTACTTGAGTACTTAAGATACGAATTTCTAATGAATCATACCATGTCAGCAACAACCGAGCAGATAGCATTCCCAATTCGAGCGTCAGAATCATAAAGATCTTACCGTACCAAGCCGTTTCTCCTAGCTAAAGAGCTATACAAACTAATGGTCAACATTCTGTGTTCTTTGTAGTTGCGTGCTCTAGAATGATTTCTCCCCAAGTACAATACCTGTAATTTTATTTCTGTATTCAAAATTTGATCCAAACAATTTTTATGTTCCTGGAACACTTAGCTGATATAACCATCTATAATGTGGAGAGTCCTGTACAGAGTCCAACAGTGGGTTTTTTCCTGGCCGAGTGTAGGCTGCCTTAAACTGGTCTGCACATCCCGCAGGTCATTCATGTGTTATTCCTGGCAAACACGCGGTCCCCTCTGAGGGTTAGGTGTTGAAGCTGGTACTGTAGCACTTCCGTATCAGCTGGCTCCTTAATGCTCATTTTATCTAGATTGAGGTAGTCCAGAGATTTGGAGTGAGCCCTCTTACCTTTAAGAAGACAAAGAGGCAGGGGCCCGTGGAGGGCCTTGTAAGGTTCATAAGGTAAAGATTTAGTGCACTTGTCTCCTGAGCTGGGCATCCGCCTTCGCCGCCTGCCGTTGACGGCTGGGATCTCGTACGGTTGGTAGTACCTACTCCTGGTTTTGTATAAACGGGAGGAGCGTGCAAGTCCTGCATCCAGCTGTTTGGAGCGCAAGGAAGGCACGCCCTCTCCCTTACCCTCCTCGCCTCCCGTGCACTTCTGGGCTAACTTCAGGAGTTCCTCGCCCGTCGTGAAGCCAACCAGATAGTTCGAGTCCATGTGGAGGATCTGGTAGCCTGAGACCGTCCGGCGCATCGGCGAGCAGGGCGTGCTGGAGCAGCGGGGCTTCTCGGCCTCGGCCTTCCCCGGGGAGCTCGCCTCGGCCACGGGCAAGGGCAGGGTGCTCAGGGTGCTTCTGGCCTCTCCATTAACATCTACTTCCATTTTAGGCACCAGTCTGCACACGCCTAAAAGCAGACAGACAGATTAGAAGAGGGGAACGAACGCGCAGGACCATGGGCCATGCTGGGTCATTTCAGGAGGTTGAAGGAGCATGAAATGACTCTGGCCTGAAAAATAGCCAACGTACATCGGGCAGATTTTTATCTGCCTACTACACGTCCCAGAGCAGGCCTGACATGACTGCCACTTTTCTGCCTCTATGAGCTCAAGACAGGTTAAATTAAAGACCGAAGGAAGGAGGCGCCTACGGATAAGCATAGTTCTCCAACGCCAGGGCTCCGTTCAGCCACACCACGTTTACTGCTACTTGAAGCGACATTAAGCAAGTGAGAATCATCACACACAGTTTCACAAGAATCTGCAAACTCTTTCCAATATGAAAATTAAAATCTTTTCACTTTCCATATGATTCAAAATACGTGCTCAGTTCTTCAACCTGCAATTCTTTTCAACTGTGTTTACAGGGCATATGATGAAAACGATAAAGGCTGATACATTTCTGCAAAGATTCAATGTGGGCCTAACAAGTTTTTCTTATGGCAAGGCGAAGTCTTAGTGGAAGGTTCCCCCAAACCTTGTAAACGTTCCTCCTTCCATATCCCCAATGAATTACGCAAAGATAACCCTTTTGTAGTTTAAAAGTTAATCCTAAATACAATAAATCATTTTGAATATGAAACATATATAAAATATCAGATGTTATTTTATTTGAACATTTAATCATAAAACATACCATCTCTAAGACACTACAATTTTGAACCATTTAGTAAATGGCAGAAGAATTCATAATGAATTAAGAATACTAATTATTATTCATCACAATAATCTCATTACATTGTTTGGAAATCTCATTGACAAAAAGTACCACAAATAATGGCCAGATTCTAGAAAATCACAGATAAACCAAATTTTGGAAAATAAAATACTAAGGGAATCTGAATGACAATGGCATTTCTGAGAAATTTTATTTCTACTTGATCCTCAGTCAGAAGTAGATAACACAGTTTTAAGTATGTCAGATTGCTTACTATAATTATGTCATGTAGTAACTGATTTTAAGATTAAATATTTATTGAAAAAGGTTATTGTATTAAATAATTCTTATGAATCCTTTTGTAAAACAAAACCTTTTCCTAATTGATGGATTTCCTAAAATTTGGGTATTTGTTTAAAAGCCAAGCAATTAGAGCCTGGCCTACGTGGCTCTGAGGTTGAGTGTGGACCTATGAACCAGGAGGTCATGGTTCAATGCCCAGTGAGGGCACATGCCCATGTTGCAGGCTCGATCCACAGTGGCGTCTGTGCAGGAGGCAGCCCATCGATGATTCTCTCTCATCATTGATGTTTCTATCCCACTCTCCCTCTCCCTTCCTCTCTCTGAAATCAATTAAAACACATACACACACTCCACACACACACACACACACACACACACACACACACACACACACACACATAGTTTTTAAATCCTTACTGAGGATATTTTTCTATTGATTTTTAGGAAGAGTAGGAGAGAGAGGAAAAGACAGAAATATCAATTGGTTGCCTCCTGCATGAGCCCCTATCAGGGCAAGGGCCGGGGAGCAGCCTGCAACCCAGACACATGCCCTTGACCAGAATCAAACCCATGGGGGTCCCCACATCCACAGGCCAACGTTCTACCCACTGAGCAAAATCAGCTAGGGCAAATTAAAACATTCATTTAAAAAATCCAAGCAAATAGAAAGCTAAAGAAAGTCACAACCTTATTCTTCCATTTCCTTCATTAGAAAATAAATAAACCAAGACTAGGAAGTTACCAGATGCCATCCTGCCCTTACTACAGTCCATACTATCTATATGTCATCTGAAAATTAAGTTTAATTCTTAAGATAAAACAAATGCTAAAGGGATCAATATAGTTTTACTTACATTGCACTCTAAATCTTAAGACTATTTCCAATTTTAATTTAACCGAACACCTTAGCCTCTCAACCCTTCTAGATTTAAAGTAACCAGCTTTTTTTCTATTTTATTAATGTAAAAAACAAATTTGTATTTGATTGTGTAATTTATTTCTCTATGGAGAGGATGGATGTAGGTGGCTACTGGCTACTTAGATATGCATACCAAAACCTAAAGATTTCTCATCTCATAAACTTTGGAGGGCCGTCTGAAGCTTCATCCAATGTTATGCTGAAGAAAAAATTTTTACTCTAAGCCAAATGACAGACTAACCCTTCCTTTCTCAGGAATTCTGTTATCCAGAAAGAGTACAAGAGAACAGCTTATCGGAAGGCCTCCAACCTGACAGGCAGAAGTGATTCTGATACTTTATTCTGAAAAGACAAGCAGAGGATGGTCAGTGAGGCCCAAACCACCTGGGCAGTGGAGGCGAGGGAGCATACACACAGACTGAGCGCCCTCCCAAGTAGAGTGACACTCAAGCATCAGTCACGTTAAGTGGCACTGGCCCAGGTCTCTTCCAAACCTGGCAGTCTATGGCAGTCCCTGGGATTTCCACCAGCCACCTTACAGAATTTGCACTTGCTATATTACAGACTTCCTAAAATCCATTTTTCACATCCCACCCATTCTGAATTGGGTAATAATTTAAACAGTGGATAGGCTGAAAGTAATTTTTTAAAAAAATATATATAGTTTATTGATTTTTTACAGAGAGGAAGGGAGAGAGGAGGGATAGAGTTAGAAACATGGATGAGGGATAAACACCAATCAGCTGCCTCCTGCACACCTCCTACTGGGATGTGCCCGCAACCAAAGTACATGCCCTTGACCGGTATCGAACCTGGGACCTTTCAGTCCGCAGGCCGATGCTCTACCACTGAGCCAACCCGGCTAGGGCTCTTTTTTTTTTTTTTTTTCCCTATGAGGGAAGAAAAATTGCTAAGCAAGTTAATAGTGTACAAAGTCACAGCAAAAAAGAGTGGACAATAGGATCATCAAAAATGTGTTCCCAGATGAAGTCAATCCTGCTGAATCAAGGCAGACCACGGGGAATTCCTAGAATCTCTCGGGGTTAGGGATAAATGATGGCAGGATACAAAGGTTTGAGAGTAAAAGGCAAAAGTTACATAGCAGCTAGAAAATAAGTGCCTAGAAAATTAGAAAAGTGGAGTGAGGCAATGTGTGGCATGAAATAGATATCACTGTTAGATGACAACTATCACTGGTTAAGTTCCCAGCAGCCAATAACACCATAAAAAAATCACGTGGTGTGGGTAAAATAACCAACAGGATCTTCAAGCACCCACCTGACAGACAATGATTTAACCTACATTCTAATTACATGTGGTTTAAGAACTCTGAAAATTTCAACCACGCGGCCTGGTGTAAGAAACCAACATACCTGGATGACATGAACAACATACTCCAGGTAGCAAACACGATCTAACCAGAAAGTTAAAGAAATAAGCACTGCCAATACCCTCTTCACAAATAAGGAACTAAGGTCAATACCCAATGTAAAATTCCTGAACCACAGTCTTGCTGCAGTGGAACACGAAAATGCTCCTTTTAAATCTTTACATATATAGCTGGGACATATAGGGAGATGCTAAAGGCAGTAAACACTGAATGGTCTCAAAGTCTTGATATATGGGTGTCCCAATATTTCAGACCGCAAAATTTCTTATTAAAAGTCATCCAGCCATCGGGAATGGATGACTACAACTGGAGATGGCCTGTGTTTTAGCAACAAATTCTTCATATTTTACCATGAAAAGCCTGCTTTGTAACTTTTTAACAAACTTATTCATGATGAAACATTTTGTTTTGTATTCTAAAATTCCCTTGTGTGTGTGTGTGTGTGTGTGTGTGTGTGTGTATATATATATATATATATATATATATATATATATATATATATATATATATAGAAGCATGCTTGCAAGATAAATGATTACAAAGCACTCTGGCAGACAATGCAGGTATGTGTGCAACAGGCACCACCCCCACTGCAGCAATAAGAATAAATGTGAACTGAGAAACTGGGTCCAGCGCTAACTCAGGTTAATGCTAACTTCTGCAAAGCAGAACACTAAAAATCAGACACCAGCAATACCCTATTGCTTCCATCAGTGCCTTGCATGTATAGTTAAAAGCAAAAATAAAAGACTGGAAACAGGAAACAGAAAAACTGTTGTTATAATTACAGAAGCAGCAAGACTTCAGCAGATAGAAGAGTCTAAGACAGAAAATGCAACAAAAATAGAAAAGTCAACTTGTAGTTGAACAATGCTTTTAAAATTCAGTTTCTTAAACAAGTACCAGGAACAAATGTAAGTCTTCGAATGACACACCTAAGGTTCTTCAATATCGTATTCTCTCACAGTCCAGTCAGTCCCAATGGCACTGAAGTATATTTATAAAACATATGAGAGAACTGGCCATGTTCACAAGTACCACTATATTTCCCTGAAATATATGAGGATCCAATTGGACAACATGAGACAAGTAATAATAACATTTACCAGAAAAATGTACACAGCACACATTCTAAAATCAATGGGTATGGCAAGCAATTGGGAATTTTGGCTGAAACCAAAGCAACTGTCCAAACCTCAGTACACATGCGGGGAAGCCTGATGCACCAAGATGAGCACATTTATTTATTTATTTATTTATTTATAAATATATTTTTTTATTGATTTTTTACAGAGAGGAAGGGAGAGAGATAGAGCTAGAAACGTCAATAAGAGAGAAACATCTATCAGCTGCCTCTTGCACACCCCCTACCGGGGATGTGTCCGCAACCAACGTACATGCCCTTGACCGGAATCGAACCTGGGACCTTTCAGTCCTCAGACCGACACTCTACCACTGAGCCAAACCGGCTTTGGCAAGATGAACACATTTAAAGCTCTGTGACCTGTATGGAAACTGTTCAGCTCTGAACAACTCTCCAGGAGGCCAAATTCCTTATACCCTTGGCAAAAGGAGCAACATTTTAAAAATATAACCTTGATATCTTAGTCCTTAGACTGACTGAAACAGCTGGTAAGTTTCACAACTGTTATACAAAGAATTCTTTTTGAGAAGTACTGAATGTTTTGTTTTGTTTTGTTTTGTTTTTTGTTTTAATCAGGCTTATCAAAAAAATAAAAAATAAAATGTCACCCTCAGTAACAAAAAAACATGCAAAACTGCTCCATATGCTTGAACTGTTTTTAGAAACATACAGCAATATCACTTAAGAGAAAACAGATATAACATAACTGTCTAAAATATACCGAATGAAAATGTCCTCATGAGAACAGAATTCTGTTCAAGAGGTACCCGAGACAAACCTTTCATGATAGAGCCAATGCTTGGAAAATGGAGTCTCTTAAGCATGGCTATTATGAGGTTCATAATACCAAGAACCATCACGTGTCAGTGCAGAAGCATCTTGGGAGTTCACCTACCTGGAAACTCCGATTACAGAGCAGACAACCCTGAAGGTACAAGGCAGGGCTTGTCCAGAGCCAGCAGGCAGTCCCAGGGCTGCGGGCTCCAAGTTCAGTGCTCCTGAGTTCATCCTGCTGCTGCGCTTCTGACCGCCACGTGGTGCCAACCCTGCCTACACACTGACATCATCTAAGGAGCTTCACAAAATACTGATGTCTGTGCTCTACCCAGATTGGGATTCAATTTGCCTGGGCTCTGAACTGTGGAAGATCACCAGGTGATTATAAGAAACCTTCATGTCTGGGACCTTGTCAGACAGAAGACTTTCACCCCTATGAGTTCTGGCGCCACTTTTTTTTTTTTTTAAACCAATAATATTAGTCATATTAGTGACCAATCGCTAACACCTATTCCTAAGGCCTTCAAGTTTACTGTTCCTAATCCACTGTGGGCTTTAAATAATTCTGCTAACCACACTTGTTAAAACTGGATAGAAAATAAAAATAAACCTGTGCTGAATGAGAATCAGGTCCTTCATCTGCATACACTGTGGTGTAGTTATTTAAGCTTCTCGGAAGCCTCAGTTAGGTACAGCCACTTTGGAAAAACAGTTGACAGTTCCTTACAAATTTAAATAAATGCTTATTAATCAACCCACCTGCCCTACTTGTAGATATTAGACTAGGACACATGAAACTATATGTTCACACAAAGACTGAATGTGAATGTTTACAACAGCTTCATTCATAATCATCAAAAGTGGAAACAAAGCAAACGTCCACCGACAGGAAAATGGATGAACTGTGCTCTGTCCACACAACAGAATACCACTCGGCAATGGGAAGAAGCAAACTAGGTTTACAGTCAGTGAAAGGAGCAGACAGAAAGTGCTACATGCTGTGTGATTCCACTAACATGCATTCTGGAACAGGCAATGCTATTGGATGAAATCAACCAGTGGCTGCCCAGGGATGGGGATGGGGGAAGGGGATGAATGACAAAGGAGTACAAGGGAATTTTGGAGGGTGGTGATAACATCCTCTCTATTGACTGTAGTGGTCAATATACAACTGATTATATCTGTCAAAACTCATCAAACTCTATACCTTAGTAAGATGCATTTTGCTGTATATAAATTACACTGACTTTAAAAATAAAATAAGCTGTCACATATTTCCAAGATTTTTGATGATCTCTGCATTTTCTATTCCAGTAGCTACAAGAGTGTGTGTGTGTTTATATATGTGTGTGTGTGTGTATCTACATCTCTCCAGATACATATGTATACTTATGAATTTACATACAGCTACAGATATAGTTCTATATGTAAATAGAAGGACATTCTAGCCAAGCTGCAAAAGGGGAAATGAACCATCTTGAGAAGTAGTAAGTGGCCTGTCACTTAAGGTATCCAAACATAGAGTGGGCAACCATTAAGATACTTTCTGATTCTGAAAATATACAAGTTGAAGAATTTAAAAAGTTGGAGAACCAAATTGTGTGCTTTATTTCAATTTTATGAGTCAGTGACCCAGCCACATTTTTATTTAATATCCTCTAAAAGTACTTTGTACTTCTGATGTTCAAACTTCTTGCTCGTTTCTTCAAAACAAAGTATTAGTAATGTTTCGATTTGTTCAATGTTTTAAAATGCATTTTCATAGATTTGATAAGTTATATCTATTTACCAAACAAAACTATTTGTGTTTCCCCAATGTCCCTTTGGCTCATTCTGCTGCTGACTGGTCATTTGGTAATCATTTATCATGAAATTGCTTTTTTTCAAAGATTATGATCACTCTAAGTAGTTCGAAGAAAGGACTTATAAAGATATTGGCCTAGTAGGATGTCACACCAAAGCATGAACTCACACTAGTCTAGTCTGTAAAATGCTGAAGAGGTGGAGCCATATGAACAACTGTGTCAGCACAGATACACAGACATCACACTGAAAAAAGACAACTAAAGGAAAACAACAGCATTGCATATTTTTAAGTTTAAATTCATGGTGTGGAAAAAGGAATGTCACCCTTGCAGTGAACTGCTATTCATCTAAGTGAAAATGATGTTCTTTCAGTCACCTGCTAGCCATTCTTTATGTACAAAAATATACACTAGAACTTTTTGCCAGCCTCTGGAGACTAACATTTTTACTAAACTTTCCTTGAAATTAGAGCAACTACATCTTATTAATAACTAGTATATTATGAAATACCCCATAAGACCTCGTTTATCTTACAAGAATTAAAAAAGGAAATTCTACTAAACCAAAAAGTCGAAATTATCAAATATGTTAGCATTTTGCAACAGTAATTTCAGTTTTCAATTAAAATTTAATTAAATAAAATTCTGATAATTAAAATTTTCATGATTATAATATACATATTTGCAATAATACACTGCGATTTCACACTTATTAGTTCATGTAGTTCTTAAAACACATTATGATATTATGTTGATACAACTGGTTAACAAACAGAAAAAGCAAAATATAACTCACCAGACTAAATCCCAGAAGATGTCACTGTACAATTTCCAATGAGTCCCAAGGGAACACAGGCATAATTTTTCTGCTCTATTCCAGATACTAAACATGAGATACAAAAATAAACCTTTAATTTAACAAGTAACAAAACCTGTAAAGCAATTATACCAATTCTAACAGCAAAACTGGCCAGAGGTACTAATACCAGGTACAGGTTATACGGGATACAATAGCAATTAATTTAATTAAAATAATTTCTAATTTGTTCAGCTAAATTAAACCTCAAACGCTTTTTATCAAGTTTGTTCCTCTGTGTTCTGTTGCTTAAGCTCTACCTGGAGACCATGAGTAGCGATGTGGGCTAAATCTCAGGGATTTAAATGTTGGTTCCACCACCCAAGTCCTATTTATTTACAGGTTCAGCAGACTCACAGCAGTAGCCTCTGAAAGAAAGAACCCAGAGGCTGGGTTCTAAGAAGCAGGTCCTAGCTCTAGCCTAAGAAGCCCACCCCATGACCTTGCTTAAAAAGCAATGTTTACCTTGAGGACAACAGCACCCTCCCGCCCTCATACAGCAGTTCCGTGGACCAGATAAGATGAGACAGATGAGTGACTGTGCTCTGCTGGCTGCAAAGCCTTTTACGATGTGCGATGTTATAATGCAATTAATTTTTGGTGTCTACTCATTGTAGCCATAAAATAGCAACAATAAAATCCTTCATAAAACTGCTCTGACGCAAATGATTGGAAGGCTCTTGGAAACATTAAAAACCAACAAACAGGAAAACCCCCATGGAGAACAACTTGGAAAAAAAAACACACTCCTTTACAATGATCACGTTGCTTAAGGTTCCTAGCCTCTCCTGGGCGCCTTCCCTCCTTCCTGGGGAGGTCCAGGTGTCAGAGAAAACTTCCCCAAGTCTGTGCCACCTGTGAAGGTTTCTTGGTTGTTGGGTTTTCTCTGGTTGTGTCTAACCTCGGGGGCGGGACAGAGGGGGGCACATTTTACCTCCAGAGGTGCCCAGGCCTGAAGAGGCAACAGTCCAACAGAATACAAACAGCAAGGGGAAGGGCAAGGAGTGTGTCACTTAATTACTTTCCCTCCCAGCCCAGGAGAGTTTTATTCAAAGGCAATGCACAATCCCTGACTTCAAGGTATTTGCTTCTATGTGCAGACTGAGAACCTGGAGGAAGTTAATGCATCACGAACTGTCACTCCAAGATTCTACAGTAACACGCTTCATTCAGCCTTTGGGACTTTAGATTTAGTGTAACACACTCCCTTCCATTTCTTTTGCCACAAACCATTCTCAAATTGGGGAACCAGGAAACCTAGATAATTATGACTTGGTTCTACTCCACCACTGCAGCCTCTGGTTTTAACATAACGTGAACTGTAATGTAACCACAATGGTTACGTAATAAGACTTTTTAAAAATATATATATTTTTATTGGTTTCAGAGAGGAAAGGAGAGGAAGAGAGAGAGAGAGAGAAACATCAGTGATGAGAGAGAATCATTGATTGGCTGCCTCCTGCACGTTGGACCGAGCCTGCAACCCAGGCATGTGCCCTTGACCAGAATCAAACCTGGGATCCTTGAGTCTGCAAGGCAGATGCTCTATCCACTGAGCCAAACCAGCTGGGGCCTAATAAGACATTTTATTGAAAATAACCACCCCCAAGAGAATTTTCCCAATACTAAAGTTCAAGTTATTTCTTATTTAAGTAAATATACTTTTAATGGGGAAGGGAAATAAAAAGAAACTAATATTTTGAGCAACTTCTATGTCAGATGCAATACTCAATTTAATGTTAACAAATGCTCCATGAGAAAAGCAGTATCCTACTGTAAAGTATTTGAAGTAATTCAAATTACTTCAGAGCAGGAATCTGGACCCCAAACTGTCTGACTCCAAAGCCCACCGACATTGCTTTAGATATGAAACTTCTTTGCAGGTTTGAAAGCAGAGAAGCCTTAAAGTAATTATCTTATTCTTGCACTGGAGCTGATGTGGAAGTTTGGGAAATGTTTTTCATAGTAAACAAAGTGTAGTAACTGATTATCCCTATCATGCCGGTGCCAGGCCAAAAATAGAATATAAACACAGCGTTCAAAGGAGCCACAGAGGGCAAAGCCAAGGTGTGCAGGAGCTCCTGTCCATGTCTCGGGTTTTACTCATTTCTGACTCTGCTCACTGTTTTGTCTGTTAACAGCCTGCTAACCGTGCACAGGTGCTAAGAAGAAAATAATGAAGATGGTGGAAAAGAGGAGAAAAAAAAAATTAAAAGACCAAGGCCAGAAAACAATTACAGAATATTCCTTCTTTAAGAGATGGTCTATAGCCGAGACCGGTTTGGCTCAATGAATAGAGCGTCGGCTTGGGGACTGAAGGGTCCCGAGTTCGATTCCAGTCAAGGGCATGTACCTTGATTGCGGGCACATCCCCAGTAGGGGGTGTGCAAAAGGCAGCTGATCGATGGCTCTCTCATCGATGTTTCTAACTCTCTAACTCTCTCCCTTCCTCTCTGTACAAATCAATAAAATGCATTTTTTTAAAAAGAGAGATGGCCTATAAAGGAATCCAGTAAAACATTATAGTAACTCATCTCCCATTAGACCCAAACCTTATAATATTAAAGTTACCCAAATATACTTTTGAAATAATGTTTTCAGAATACTTGAAAAATCTCTAACACCTGCAATTGATTCTGGCCAATGTTTTTGAACATGAAGGCTTGGCAAGCTATCAGATCTCTCAAAAACAATCAACAAGAAGGAAACACATTCACGTGAGTTTTTTACAAGATGGACTAAATGCTGCAAAGAAAAATTCAAATAAACACAGCACAGACTTGACTATGTAGTACTTTTATCTATAAGCAGCTTAAACAAATAGAAAGCCCTAAGACATTAACCTGTAAACAACAAAAATGAGAAAAAATTAAGTATGGTCAAGAGCGGTCCACCCTGAGTGACTAAGCAAAAGACACCAAGCATTTGACTGGAAACGAGGCTTCTACAAATAGAAAAGTTTGCAAACATCAACTGGCAACTGAGTCAAATTTCTCAGGCAAGATGATAGATATCATCATCAGAGATAAATAAAGAAGAATGTCCTTCAAAAGTAGAATGGCCACATGTCTCAGGTCGCAGCCACCAGTGCCCTGGCAGGATTACTTACAGCACTCCCTTTAAGTCCCAAAAGTGTCCCAGTTGGGCAGTTATTTTGTTATCCTACTCAAAAGTAATACATGACAATGGAAAGGCAAAGATTTTAGGGAGCAAGGAAGGACCCTCTGCTTGCATAATGGCTTCCCATACAGTATCTGTTTGGGTGTATCCACTCAGCCATTGAATTATTCATTTACTAATTCAGTCATTCAACAATATTTCAGCTCTTATTATGCCCCCGCACTGCATACACTCTTGGGCAAATACAAAAAAGCGAAGCCTGAGACAGGCCAGAGGGAAAGACAGACAGACGTGTATTAATAGATATAACAAGTAAATCTGAGTGGCATTGGGAACCAGAGAAGTGAATGATTTCCCCCCAAACATAGGAGCTCTGCTTGGAAACGTTTAAGCCCACACAAAGTCCCTACATACAAAAAAGCCATAAAGTCAGACTTCAGCATAGATCTGCTGACAACATAGCAAATAAGAAAAAATTTAGCAAGATCTATCCGTTCCGAATCAAAAGGTTATAAATATGAAGGCCAGCACATAGTCCTTGTGAATTCTGGTAAATAAATTCCACTATTTATTAAAGATTATGTTAGGGAAAAAACGAGATACATTTTAGGCAAAGAAAATTGATAGAGTAGAAGTTATGGGTTCTAATTCTAGTTCTCAAAACACAAAGACAAAAATGGAAACAGGGAGTACTTCTCATGTTGTCTGAGCAAAGACCAATAATGAAAAACCACTTTTAAAGTTCTGCTGAGACTAATAAAAATACTTTGCAACCACCAGTCTCAAAGATTACCCTGAAAACACTAGAAGAGAGGATCAACACATCTCTCCAGTAACAGAACACTGAGCAGAAATAAAATGATTTTAACAACACACACAATGAAACAAAAATGCTTGGCTATGCATACATGCTCATTGTACAGTTTACTTTAAAATAACATTTTTAATTTGCAACTCATAAAAAAACAAAATCATCGGTAATTTTTAAGAAGCGTTAAGTAGGTTGTGACTTTTCTGAAACTATCCTTGAGCTTACAAATTATTAACCTCACCTACACTGTAAGGCAACCCATAATGGATTCCCTAAGACAAAATATGTTTCTCTGTTATCAGTGATTTTACTAGTAATAGCAACTTCCTTAAAGTACAGCACTCCTTTTCTATTTCTGCTAGTAGAAATTAAAGCTAGATTACCATTGCCTTATCTAGCTATCAAGATAAAATCTTGATGAGATGAAATCATCCTTCCACCTATTTTAGAAAAAAATTCAGTTTCACTACAAATATGACGGAGGGTAACCAGAACTGCAGGCCTGCACGCAGTCTCTACATGGAACTTGCCTCTTTGGAAGCATAACCAAAATGGGCCCGGTGTACACAGTGGAATTGATTAAACTTTCAGATGAAAAGCTTAAAACCAGGAACATATTTTGATATTGATAGACCAGTGACAAAATCAGAGTTCTCTCTGGAAAAGAGCTGATCTCCACCCTACCCAGGATAACAATCCTGGGTGTAAGTTTTGTTACTCCCATCACATACTTAAGGGTTAAGGTGTACAATACCTCTCCGAAGTACACAAAATTACAGAGAGAAAGTAAACAGGTTCGTGACTCAATGTAAGATCAATTCAAGAAGACTCTGGACTCATTAATCCTTATATTTCATTTTGGTCATTTTTAAAGCTTATAATGCACACACATGTACATAATAAAACACCGAGAGACCTGTGAAACATTCATTGAACCTAATTGTGTAGGCATAAATCATGGTCTTGGATTAAAGTACCAAAAGTTTCTGCAATAATAGTCAGCACTGTATTTTAAATGAACTTTGGGAAAGGGTCATTTCTATCTCTCTAGTGTCAAACCAAATAACAACTCTAAATTGTAGAGTGGCTCACATGAGAAAAAGAATGTAAAAGGAAGAGCCTAGTAACGTCAGAAATGTTGTGCAAGAATTGCTCTTTCGGCACAGAGCAGCAAGCACACTATAAAATGCTTGTCTCCGTTCTTCCAATTCCTTACATGATTAAAAAGTTCCCAGCCCCAGTTTTAACCCGTGCACCACCATCACCCGCATCCACACTCAGCATCTTGGCTCCACACACATAACTAACCCCCCTGGGAGCAGGCTGGCGCAGACGAAGCAGCAGGGAGGACCCTAAGGAGGGGAAACAATTGCAAGGGGGAAAGGACCGGGCCATCGTTCCCTTCGTGTTCCCATCTCTTTCCTGGCTGAGATCTGCGGATTCCACCACTAGAGTTTGGCAGCCTCACAATGGGGCCGCCTGCTCAAGGTCTGAGCGCCGCCGGCCTGGAAACCCCTTTCCCCCCCGCTTCCCACCCGCCCCAAAGCCCACCCGCGACAGGTGGGGCGCAGGCGGCGATGCGCAGCGATATCTGCGGCTTTCGCTTCCAGCCGCACGCGCGGCCCCGGACAAGGCCGGCCGCCCGCGCCCGCGGCCCCGCGGCCCTCACGGGCTGCAGATTCACGGCAGCCTCGCCCCCGCCCCGGTACCCTCTGCTGCGCGGGCGAGGAGGGCGGCGATAAGGCCGCGGGGCTCGCCCAGAGGCGCTATCGGGCCGGGCACGCGGCCCCCGCGCGGCAGGCCCGGGAGAGCGCCTTCTCCACGGCCCCGGGCCCGCCGCTCCCGGAGCGGGCACCGCGCGGCGCCAACGCGCCCGACTTCCGCGGCGCCGCACCCGGGCCAGGCTGCCCGCAGCTCCCCGGGCGCACGCCGCGCGCGCACACACACTCACACATACACACACACGCACACACACACACACTCTCACACACACTCACACACTTACACATACACACACATATACACAACTCACACACTCACACATACACACACACACTCACGCACACACTCACACACTTACACATACACACGCACACACACACACACACACATACACACACACATACATACACACACACTCACACATACACACACACACACGCACACCCGGGCGCACGCCCCCGCACACTCACCCACATGCGCTGCACACTCACGGCGGCCGGCCCCACCCCTGTGCCCGGGCACCGCGGGCTCCGGCACCGGGCGAGGCCCCACCCAGTCCACCTCCCCCCAGCCCGGCTCGGGCGTTCCGGGACCTGCCCTCCGAGGCCGGGGTCCCCGAGCCGCCCTCCCCGGAGGCCCGCCCACCCCGGCCGCCCGCCCGGGGCCCCCAGCACCGCGCGGTCTCCGTGCGCCCGGCCTCCGCCCCGGGCAGGAGGAAGGGGCGGCGCCGGGCCCGGGCGCTGGCACCGGGAGCTGGGGACCGGGGTACCCCCATCGCCACCACAACCACCCACCCGTCCCCACCTCCTCTGCGGCACAAAAGGCTGCAGACGGAGCCGCCGTCCCCGTGCAACCTACCGGAGGCTCCCGGCTTCTCCGCCGCCGCCGCCGCGCCTGGGGCCGCGGAGCCGGAGACCGACCGCGGCGGGAAAGGCTGGGGCTGCGGCGCTGAGACGCGGGCGGAGGCCGCCTGCCGAGCCAGCGGGGTACCCGCTCCGCTCCCGCCGCGCTCCGCGCCCGCGCCCGCCCGGCCAGGCCCCGCCCGCCCCGCCGCCGCCCGCCCCCCTCCGGCTGCAGAGGCGCCGCCCGGCCGCTGGGCCCGCCTCCCGCGCCCGCAGACACCGGCGGAGGGCGGGCCGGGGAAAGGCGCTAAGGAGGCCCGGGAAGGCGGCGGCGGGCGGAGCTGCGGGCGGAGGAGGAGGGCGAGGAGGGGGGAGGAGCTGGGGGAGGAGTTGGGCGAGGAGTCGGCACAACCCCTCTGCAGCCTCAGCCCGCGCTCCCACTGAAGGGCGTGCAGAGCAGACTCACAGACTCACAGACCTGCCACACTCAGGTGTCCCCAGCTGCGTGGTGTGGTGGTGCTTGTCACTGATGAGTCTGCTTAAAGGATTCTGCGCTGAGCAGAAATAGACCAGACTAGAATCCCATGAAAGGACAAGTTATAAAGTCAATCTTAGAAAAGGGGGGGGGGGTAAAATTCAAATCTAATACTGATGGGATTGGCTATTTAGCAATCCTCAGACTTGATCTTTTACGTTTATATAAGAAATTCTTTATCAAGAGTTTCTATTCTCAATTATTGTACATTTCTGCCAAAAACAGTTAATAAACTCGGTGATAGGAATATTTACTGATAGCTCTCACTGTGTGCCAGGCCTTTTTACATGTATTTTCGCATTTACAACTCTCTACAATTCTATGTCAGTTTCCAATTATGAGCCCGAAACCCAGGCATGTGCCCTTGGCCGGAATCAAACCCACGGCCCTTCAATCTTCAGGCCCACACTCTATCCACTGAGCCAAACCGGTGAGGGCTCTTTTTTTTTTTTTTTAACAAAAGATTTTATCTAAACATGGAAGTCATAAACTTGGTGTAAATGAATACAAATTTAGACAAATCTTGTCAAACTTATAAAATCTATATATGTCCCTGATAATTTAAGACAAATAAATAAATCTGAACACCCACCCCTACTTGAATGCCCATCCAGCATGATGTCTGGAGGCTCCTCAGCTGGAAGACATTTTATGCTACTCTGTATGCTCTAAAATCAGTAAGGGAAGAGAGAGGGAGAAGGAGATTTTGACTAATATTCTCTCAAGAACAATTTTAAAAAGCATATATCACCTTATTTCCAACATGGATATGTATGTAACTTCTCAAATATAGAACCTGACACAACATTATATGTGCTGAATAAGTGATTGGACTTTGGTTTTGCATCAGCAATTTAGAAGAACACACTGAAAGTTATTTCAGATTATAATCTGTTTGACACTGTAGTATATTGTTCTCATAAAACCACCTCCAAAACATTGACTACTTTATATTCAGAAATGTACTTTTATTCTGTCCTGTCTGAAATTTTGTAACCTTTTCAGAAGCATGCCTTGTACTTGCCCTTTGCTCTAAGAGTTTGGCAATGTTCTTTGGCCAAAAGCAATAAAGTTTCTGTTTTGCCTTTAAGTTTATTGTGCTCAGGGCTAGCCCTCTTGAGAGGACATTGTCTCAAAATTGCCTCCCTTCTTGGGTGGTGCTCCCATTCTAGCCCTGACTCCTCACACAATCAAAACTTCAGCCAGTTTTTCAGTGCCCCAATGAACACCTAGTAAACCAATTCACCAGGCTGATAACAAACAGCTCTATGTGTGGGCCCTCGGTGACAGGTCTGTGCCACTAAAGACTCTGAATGGGAACTGTCTTCATTCAGACCAGTTGTGGATTGCAAAAGCTGTGTCTGAGGGGAGTGTGGGTGGTGGGAGTGACGCAGAAGCCCTTCCCAGGGCTTTTCTATGTTCTGTGGAGGTCTATTCAATCTATTTTAAATGGCATGCTTATAAAGAATGGGAACAAACATAGAATAGTTCTTGTGATCTGAAAGGCCTTCTGAGTATGGAGAGTCACACACTCCAGCTCAAATGTCCCCTGTGCAAGTTACAGCTTTGCCTCAAGGCATCCTTCCCACACAATCACTTTAAAAGGAAGACTTCCTAGGAAGGATTATGCTTTCTTAAAAAATATCTATCCCCCACTGCTTCCTCTTTGACAACCATCAGCTTATTCTCTATATTTATGAGTCTGTTTCTGTGGGTTTTTTTATTGCATAACATTTCATCATATATATGTGTGTGTATGTGTGTGTGTGTGTGTGTGTGTGTGTCCCAATGCATGAAGATTAGTGCAGAAATGGGCCTTCCTTCCCCTGGCTGCCGGGACCACTTTCGCTTCAGCCCAGAGACGCCTTTCCACCTTCCCATGCTGCCCAGAGGCCTGGAGCAACTGGGTCAGTGTGGAATACCAGTGTCCTGCCCCAGCCACTCGGCACCTGCTATGGAAATTAACTCACCATTTTTGTTGAATTCATTTGCATAGTCACTCCTGGTTGGCTGGTGAGCATCACAAAGGTACAGTCAATTTGCATCTTTCTCTTTTATTAGTGTAGATATATATCCATCACATCTTCTTTATCCATTCATCTTGATGGACATCTTGGTTGCTTACTAGCAATGTTGCAAAGAACATCAGGGTGCACCTATCTTTGCAAATTAGTGTTTGTTTTCTTCAGATAAGTACCCAGAAGTGGAATTTCTGGATTTTATGGCACCTGTATTTTTAATATTTTGAGGAATCTCTATACTGTTTTCCATAGTGGCTGCACTAACTGACAATCCATTGACAGTGTACAATGGTTCCCTTTTCTCCGCATCATCACCAGCACTTGTTATTTGTTGATTTATTTATTATTCATCCAAGTGTGTGGTGATATCTCATTGTGATTTCAACTTGCTTTTCCCTGATGGTGAGTGATGTCAAGCTTCTTTTCATATACGTGCTGGCCATCTCCATGTTCTCTTGGGAGAAATGTCTAATCAGGTCCTTTGCCTATTGATATAAATAGTGTCACCCAGCAAACAGCCAGCTACAGAGAACAGGGTAGGTAGACTTGATTACATAGTGAATATAAAGCAAACACTGCAAACCCAGTTGTGCAAGAACTATCACATCTCCACCTTTTCTCTAAACATGCATGCTTCAATCTGGGGCTAACCAGGAAATTAGAGACTCCAAATATTTACAAAGACAATTGAATGCGAGGAATTGATAACACCAGCAATGGAAGAACTCAGACGCTAAAAGGGAGTTGGTGAAGTAATCCAGAAATTAGCAAGTGTAGCCCGTAGCTGGAGAAATAAAGGGAGGAAGCAGGGTTACTGGAACCCAGAGGCCAGGCAGTATGGCCAGCCTGGTGAGAACTGGAGAACAGCCTGGTGAGAACTGGAGAACTACTGTACAGAGGAGAGACAGCCACTGCCACAGAAGTTGTGTATGGCAGGGAAAATATACCATAGATTCTCCTCTCCTCCTGCCCTCTAATGTCCTGTCAGTGCCTTCCAGTTAGCCAAGCCTAGACACCTACTGCCATAAGAGCCAGGAAAACAGCCTGCAAGCCTGCAACATAGAGGTGAATAGGGGAAGGACTTGGAATATGAAGCTGAGAGCAAGCAGGCCCCAGATCAGTACAGTATTTTATTTCACTTTCAAGGCGTCAGTCTTTTAAAGGTTTCCCCCCGCTCTCTTGGGTACGGTCAAAGTTCCAAGAGCATATGTCATTCCAGGCCATTGGGTAGGTAGTAATGATGGGAAGTAGGAGGAGGTCTTTTGGTTTATATTCAACTGTCCACAGAAGTTTCTATTGTCCTTTCCCACAAGCTGCCAAACACTCTTGATTCCTCTCGTCAGCTCTCTCCTGCTCCAGCACCACATTTGGACCAAGGAATATTAGTATTTCTAAGGTGTGAGACCATCACACTAAGTCTCATCAGTATTTCTATATAGAGTCCTGTATGAAATATAATGGTATAGGCAGGTTCAAGTAAAAGAATACTAAAAGATATTGTATGTAAACACTGTTGTAAACAAAGTAAGATTAGTTACATTAATAATAAATAGAGTAGACTTCAGAGAAAAAAAAATTACCAAAAACGGATGTTATATAATGATAAAATGGTCAATATACCCAGAAGTCCAATGTATATGCACCAATCAGTAGAGCTATAAAACATGTAAAGCAATGCTGACAGAACTGAACAGAGAAATAGGCAAATATACAAGTATAGTTGAAGATTTCAAACCCCTCTATTAACAATTAATAGAACACCTAGACAATAAATCAACAAGGATCAACACCACCATCAAACAGAGGGATACATTTGACATCTATAGAACACTCCTCCCAAGAATAAGAAAAATGCACCATATTTCAAACACCCATGGGCTATATACCAAGATAGACTACATCCTAGTTCAGAAAACAAATCTTAACAAACTTAAGATTTGCAATCATACAGAATGTCCCCTCCAACTACAATGAAATCAAAGTAAAATGAGTAACAGAAAGATAACAGAAAAATGTCCAAACACTGGGAACAAAACAACAAACTTGTGAATAATCCATGATTCAAGGAGGAAGTCTCAAGGGAAATTAAAAAAAAAACAAAAAACATTTGACTGACTACAATATGTCAAAATGTGTGACACACAGGTAAAGCAATGCTGAGAAGGAAATTTATAACACTAAATGTGTACAATAGAAAAGAGGGAGATCTCAGATCAGTAACCTAAACTCCTATCTCAAGAACCTAAAACAAGAAGAGCAAAATAAACCTAAAACAGAAGGTGAAAAAATAATAAAGATAAGATAAAAAAATCAATGAAATTAAAATGGGAAAAAAAACAAGAAAGAAAACAAATGAAACAGAAAGGTGATTTCATTGAAAGGATCAACAAAATTGACAAACCTTTAGCAAAATTGACTAATAACAAAGAGGAGAAGACCTAAATGACCAATATCAGGAATGAAACAGAAGATGTCACTACAGACCCTACAGACAATTAAAAAAGGACAATAAGGAACTATTATGAAGAACTCTACACCGATAAATTTTACAACTTAGATAAAAATTTTAATTCCTTGAAAAATACAAACAACCACAACTTGTGAA